ACGGCCGGGTCTCTGCCGGACTGCCACTTGCCATTCTGTGTTCTCAGGAGTGTCTCTCAAAGGGCAGAACTTTTCTGTTTGGGTGAAGTCCAGATTCTCACGTTTTGGTGGGGTTTTTTTTTGTGATTTCTAAGTGTTTAAGAAATGTTGCCTATTTCAAAGGTGCAGGAATTTTTCTCCTGTTTTCTTCTAGAACGCTTGCAGGGAGCGGTTTTTCAGGGAGGTCTCTGTTCCATCTGAGTTAATTTTTGAGCTTGGTGTGAGGTAGGGGTCAGAGTTCTTTATTTCCCTTCACAGAGACATCTGGTTGTTTCAGCACCATTTGTTGAAAAGAATTATTCCTTCCCCAGTGAATGACGATGGCACCTTTGTCAAAAGTGAATGGCCCGTACGAGTGCGGGTGGATTTCTGGCCTCCGCTCCCTTTACTACCGTCTCTCCTTATACGAGGAGAAGGCAATGGCACGCCACTCCAGGGTTCTTGCCTGGAGAATCCCAGGGACGGGGGAGCCTGGTGGGCTGCCGTCCATGGGGTCGCACAGAGCCGGGCACGACTGACGCGACTTGGCAGCAGCAGCTCCTCACGCGAATCCCACTCTGCCCTAGCGACTGTGGCGTCACAGGAGACGCTGGCGTCGGGCAGCACCAGTCCTCCCACGTTGCTCTTTTCTCCCTGAAATTGTTTTGCTTCTGCTCTATTTTTGCCTTTTCATACCAATTTTAGAATTGGTTTATCGATTTCTTCAGATTAATTGGGCTGCATTAAACCTATGCATCAGTTTGGAGGAAATGGATAGCTTAGCAATATTGAGTCTCCTGAATCATAAATGTGTCCTTTGTTTCACATAAATATTCTTCACTTTCCGTCGGTAATATTACGTAATGTTCAGTGTGTGGGTCTTACACAAGTTCTATTGCCTTTGCCCTAAACATGTCATGTTTTAACGCTATTGTACATTTTTCTAACTCGGTTTTGTTTCAATAGAGCATTCTAAGGTTCACAGCAGAGTTGAGTGGAGGGTCCAGAGGTTTCCTGCCCGCCTCGTGCTGCACGTGCAGCCTCCCCCGGTGAACACCGCTCTTCAGAGGGGATGTTGTTATGAGTGATCCGCTTCTGCTGGCCTGCGGTCATCACCGGGCCCAGTGCTCCCACCACCACTCCCCTGGTGCTCTGCACACTCTGTGGGTTTGGACAAGTGTGTGGCGACACGTGTCCATCCTCAGCGCGCCGCACAGAGTAATTTCACTGCCTTAAATGTCCTCTGGGCTCCACCTGCGCATCGCTCTCTGTCCCCACCCCGGCAGCCGCGGGCCCTTTTATTGTCTCCATGGTTTTACTTTCCCCAGTGTCACAGCATTGGAGTCACGCAGTAAGCAGCCTTTTCAGGTCGGCCTCCTTCACTCTGTGACGAGCACTCGAAGTTCTCCCCCGTCTCTCCTGGCTTGGAGCTCAGCTCTTTGTGCCTGAGCAATATGCCGTTGTCCGGATGGATCACAGTTTCTTCATCTGCTCACCTGCAGAAGGGCTTCGTGGTTGCTCCCGAGTTTGGGCAGTTACGATACAGCTGCTGTAAACATTTGTGCACAGGTTTCTCTGTGGATGTATGTTCTCAGCTCCTTTGGGTGAACGTCAAGAAACACAATTGCTGGATTGACCATATGGTAAGAAGACATTTATTTTTGCCAGAAACCGTCGGATCGTCTCCTGACGTGCAGCACTGTCCGCACCCCCCCAGCAAGAGGAGCATTCTTGCTGCTCCCCCTTTCTGGCCCCAGGTGTCAGCGCTCTGGGGCTCTGACCGTTCTAACAGGTGCGCAGCAGTATCATGAGTTAACTTACATTCTTCTGATGACATATGAAGCGCAGCCTCCTTTCATATGCCCCTTTAACACCTGTGTGTCCTATGTGGTGAGGCATCTGCTAAGGTCTTTTGCCCATTTTGTAACCAGGTTGTTTTCTTCTTGTTGAGGTTTAAGGGTTCTTTTGTTTATTTGGGTAGCAGTCCTTTATCAGATGTGTCTTTTGCAAATCTTTTCCTGCAGTCGGCATTTTCTTTTCACCTGGTCGTTAGCAGAGCTGAAGTCTTTAATTTTAATGAAGTCCAGCTTATCAATTATTTCTTTCTCAGATTGTGCTGTTGGTGCTGTATCTAATAAGCCGTCACCAAACCTAAGGTCCTTCTCAGCCTGAGAGAGGGGAGGCTGAAAGGGCAGGGCTGCAGGTCCGCAGAGAACACCCCTGCTGCCGTCAGCGGGTCCCTGTGCAGCCCCAGGCCCCGCGGGGGGGGAGCCCTCCAGCTCTGGGCTCCCCCCACCTTCATCTCCCACCACCGTGTGCGTCTTTGGCTTCTGAATTGTCCGTCCGCCTGTGGTTAGCCCAGGCACATAAAAGTTGTGTGTGTGAGTCTGTGTGTGTGGGTCTCCCGTCCTTCCATCCTGAAAAACCTGCAGCAGCGCTTCCCAGGGTCTCAGTTTGGGGGAGGGTGGTGGGCAGGCTCCAGGCGCCCCCGTGACCCCCCCGTCCACCGTCTTGTGTGAGCCTCTCCCGCCGGGTGTGTGTCTGGGGGTTGGCCTGGTGCTGGCCCCCACCCTGCCTGACCCCCCACAGATAGAGGGGTGCTGTGGACCCCCATCTGGGGGCAGTGTCTCTCCAGAGGCCCCCGTTGCAGCTCATGTTTCTGACAAAGCCCGGCTGAACCGGGCAGTTTCCAGCCCTGGGGGAGCCCAGCTGGCCCGCTGCGCCTCTTGGGGCTCTGCGGGGAGGGAACAAGGCCTCCCCTCCTGGGGGCTCCATCCTGGCTCCCAGGAGCAGCTCCCTCGCTCCCTTGTGGGGTGACTCCCCCCAGGCGAGGCGCGGGCGCAGGAAGCCCCTCCCCGTCCACACCCCGCCCTGTGAGTGTGCCAGCTGGGCACGGAGGGGCCCTAGGAGCCTCGGGCGCACGCACGCACGGTCTGGTCCAGGCCTCGATGCTGGCTGACCGCCTGTCCGGCTGCGGGGAGCTGGCTCTGTGTGCTGGGACGGGACGGGCGGCCCTGACCAGTCGAGGGGGCCCTGCTGTGCTGGGACAGATCTCTGCAGGCCGGTGACGTCCCCAGGGGCCCGGACTAAGGCGAGGTGAGGTGCGTGTTCCCGGGTGGGCCTGGAGCCCCGGGGCCCCTCTCCCCTCAGGAGGCACCTGGGGTCCCTGCACCTTGACTTTTGTGCTGACCCTCAGGAGGCTGGTCTCAGAAGGTGCTTCACTGTCGCTGGGAGAGCTGAGTGGGGCTCGGACCCTCTGCTGGGGCTCCTGTGAGGACCGCCGACCGGGGGTGGGGACGGCCCGGCCAGCCTTTCTCTGCTGAGCTCATTCTGGTGGGTGCTCCCAGAAGCACCGGCACGCGCATGCCTTCGCCCTCCCGATCCCCTGAGGCCCAGGACAAGCCCTGAGAACACCTCATTCCCCGAGTACAAGCCGCGACTAAGATCGGCTTCAAAAAGTTGAACTGGGCCACGCGCCGGAGGTGGGGTCCGATCCCACAGAGCCCGGGCCGTCAGCACGCCCCGAGACTCGGCGTGTGACCACCTGAGCGTCTGATTCTGCATCAAAGTGTTCGTGCGAAGCCCAGCAGAGGTTTCTGAGGAACAGGAGTGCCAACAGCCTCCCGCCCTGCCGACCTGCCCGCGGTGTCTCGATTTAGTTCAGCCACTGCACCCAGGCCTGGCCCTTTAGCTGCAGACACAGGCTCGAGTGAGGGCGCACACCCTCCCCGGTCCTGCACCCACGCCCCCGCACTGAGCTCGGAGCCTGGCTGTCTCCTCCAGGCCCCCCTCCCCTTCCCGCCTCAGCCCTTCTGGTCGCTGTGGGGACCTGGGGCTGCCCTCTCGCCCTCCCCCGCCGGCTTTCCAGGCCCCTCACTCCGCCTGCTCCCTTCTCCCCACACCTAGGACCCCGAGCAGCTTCCTGACGCCAGGCGCCGGGTGGACAAAGGCCGGTGGTCAGTCTTGGTGGGAGCGGGGCCCCTGGGGGGATGGCCAGCACCTTGCAGAGAAGGCCACTCGTCCTCCCAGGAAGTCACCTCCCGCGATGCCTGGAGGTGAGGCCGTGAGGGCCGCCAGCTGCCCGTGTGCCCGCCGCCTGCTCAGGCTGCGGCCTCGCTCTGGGTTTCCCTGCTTCTGTGCAGGCCGGCCGTCTTTGACGACACTGTGGATTTTACGTTGGCAGGTGCTGGATATTTTTGTGATCCTGTGCATATTCTGGGTTTTGTTCTAGGATTCTGTTAAATGTTTTAATCCTTGTGGATCTGGCTTCTTAAGATTTGTGAGGTGGGACCAGGGTCGTGTTTTTTCCAAGGTCCCTATTTTCCACCAGGGAAGCCCTTCCAGGGATCTCCCCAGGGCCCAGGGGTCCCGAGTTTCTCTAACCCAGCAGGAGGGAGCCTCCCTGCAAGCTTTCTCTGGCCCGACCCCAGCCTCGGTGGTCTCCACACACACGTGCTGGCCAGGATCCAGGAGGACGCACGTGGGACCCCTGAAACCCTCCTGGCTCCTCTCCTTGTGCAGACACGGGTGATTCTCTGTCACAGGGGTCAGACCAGACGGCCCACCCCGTAGAGCCTCCCCACCCACCCTCACGCCCCGCCCGCAGAGGGGACCCAGCCGGGCAGACTGTAATCAGGATGGATTGTTCGCAATCCTGCAGCTGTGGGTAAGTTTCCCAAAATAAGGGTCTGAGGAGAGAGATTGGCAACTTAGCCCTAGGCACCAGAGAACAGAAAGAATGGAAAAACCCAGCGGGATCCGGGGGGCGGAGCCTCTTGCCCGGATGCTGCCCTTGAGCTTCGCTAACCTGGGGACACTCTGGCCTCACCGACCACCCTCACCCGGACCTACCAGCGCGCACAGGGCTGCGCTAGCCTCTGCTCTCAAGCCCCCCAGCTACTGAGGCTCTGCCCTCTCAACCCTGCTCGGACGAGCCCGGCCTGGACGGCGCGTCCCCGAGACCCCATCCCGAGGGCCATGGTCTACGAGGCGTTGGGACTGAGCCCAGGACAGCTGCCACCTGAGAACGGTTTCTCCGCAGAGAGAACCCTCCACGGTGATGTGGAGAAAGGGGGGCCCCGGTGCTGCGATGGGAGGGTCTCGCGAGTAGTGGGGACCCCCCACTTTGGAACAGCCAGCTCAGCGTCAGGCCAGGCCTCCCTGAGGCTCCAGAGGAGCCAGAGGGAAATCACGCCTTTGCTCCCAGGCCAGGCCCTGGAGCGGAAGCCCTGGTCTGCACGCAGCCTGAGCCCCTCACCGGGCAGCTCCGTGAGCCCAGTGGGGCCAACACCCTGGACCTGATGGGGCTCCTTGCCAGGCGGGCACTGAAGGGGCCCTGCCTTCTGGGGACACTCTGACTTCAAGGTGGACACTCTGCCCACGGAGCAGAGCTCCTCCTCAGACTCAGCTCTGCCAGCATCCACCCGGGATCCTGGACTGTGCTTGTCCATGGCCTCTGGTCTGGACAAGCAGTGGGTCCCTGCTCCTGGGGCCCGGGATGTGGTTCTAGGCAAAAATCGCATCTCCAAACCCACATCCCTGGACATCTCCTGTGTGCACTGGCCCCCACACCTCGTCTCCCAGGCTCGTCATGGAGTGGGGGTGGGGGTGCCAACCTCACCAATACCAGCCGGTGCCCGTCTTCCCACATTTCCCAGTCACTGTGGTTTTGACCCAATTTAGTGACCGACGATGCTGGCCACCTTTAGGGCGTGTGTTGGCCATCTCTGTACCTTCTCTGATGGAATATGTATTCAAACATTTTGCCTACTTTCTATTTGGGTTATTACTGAGTTATAAGAGCTCTTTATTTATTCTGGATACAAGTTCTTTGCCACATACATGATTTCAATGATTTCCTTCACCCTGTGGCTTTTCATTTTCATGTCATTTGAAATCCGATCTTTCAATTTTTTAAAATTGTTGTGCTTTCTGTGTTGAATGCAAAAAATTTTTGCCTAACACAAGGTCACAAGATATTACTCCTGTGTTCTTGTGAAGTGTTATAATTTTAGTTTTTCATTTAGGTCTTTGATTCATTTTGATCAAATGCGTCTTTTTTTTTAAATCCTCCTTCCCGCCCATGGGTGCTGACTTCCCAGCATCGTCACGTGTGGAGAAGACTGACCTTTCCCCAGTGAGTTCCGTCTGTGCCTTTGCGGGAAATCAGCTGACGGTGAGTGTGACGGTTTATTTCTGGACTCTGGATTCTGTCCCACTGCTCCGAGCTCTGTCCTTGTGCCGAGCCAGTCTTGATGGCTGTGGCCTTGCAGTCCGTTTCTAAACTTACTTTGTTCTTTTTGGAGATTGCTTGTCCTGTCTGGGGCCTTTGCTGTCCGCGCAGTAGGTCTGGTCTTCAGTGTCTGCAGGCGCTGCCGCTGGCTCTCGGCATCAGAACCTTCCCCTGAGCCTCTGTCCGTCCCCCACCTGAGCCCCCATCAGGGTCTGGGGGCCCAGGGCTGCGATGCTCACGATGCTGGCCCCGTGGCGGCCGGGTGGTCACAGGAAGAGGGCCTTCTGCAGGTCAGCAGGCCGGGGTCTGGCCTGCGTGCTCGGGGCTACGTCACGGTGTCTGATGTCCCCCAGCGAGGGCGCTCGGGGAGCTGAACTTCCAGAGGGTCGGGTCGCCCAGGTGACCGGCCGGGGGGCACGCCTGGCTCGTCTCACGGAGGGGCTGAGGACAGGTGGACTTTAATTTTCTCTGTAAACAGCCTCAAACCACAAGCCGCATGGAAGCCCCTGTGTGTGTTAAGTCGCTTCAGTCACATCTGACTCTTTTATGACCCCATGGACTGCAGCCCATCAGGCGCCTCTGTCCATGGGATTCTCCAGGCGAGGACACTTGGGTGGGTGGCCATGCCCTCCTGCAGGGCACCTTCCCCGCCCAGGGAGGGGACCCACATCGTCTATGGCGAGGACACTTGGGTGGGTGGCCATGCCCTCGTCCAGGGGACCTTCCCCGCCCAGGGATGGAACACCTTTTATGGTGAGAACACTTGGGTGGGTGGCCATGCCCTCCTGCAGGGGATCTTCCCCGTCCAGGGAGGGAACCCACATCGTCTACGGCGAGGACACTTGGGTGGGTGGCCATGCCCTCCTGCAGGGCACCTTCCCCGCCCAGGGATGGAACATCTTCTATGGCGAGGACACTTGGGTGGGTGGCCATGCCCTCGTCCAGGGGATCTTCCCCACCCAGGGATGGAACCCACATCTTTTATGGCGAGGACACTTGGGTGGGTGGCCATGCCCTCCTGCAGGGCACCTTCCCCGCCCAGGGATGGAACACCTTCTATGGCGAGGACACTTGGGTGGGTGGCCATGCCCTCCTGCAGGGGATCTTCCCCGCCCAGGGAGGGAACCCACATCGTCTATGGCGAGGACACTTGGGTGGGTGGCCATGCCCTCCTGCAGGGGATCTTCCCCGCCCAGGGAGGGAACCCACATCGTCTATGGCAAGGACACTTGGGTGGGTGGCCATGCCCTCCTGCAGGGGATCTTCCCCGCCCAGGGAGGGGACCCACATCGTCTATGGCGAGGACACTTGGGTGGGTGGCCATGCCCTCCTCCAGGGGATCTTCCCCACCCAGGGAGGGAACCCACATCGTCTACGGCGAGGACACTTGGGTGGGTGGCCATGCCCTCCTGCAGGGCACCTTCCCCGCCCAGGGATGGAACATCTTCTATGGCGAGGACACTTGGGTGGGTGGCCATGCCCTCCTGCAGAGGATCTTCCCCGCCCAGGGAGGGAACCCACGTCTTTTATGGCGAGGACACTTGGGTGGGTGGCCATGCCCTCCTGCAGGGCACCTTCCCCGCCCAGGGATGGAACACCTTCTATGGCGAGGACACTTGGGTGGGTGGCCATGCCCTCCTGCAGGGGATCTTCCCCGCCCAGGGAGGGAACCCACATCGTCTATGGCGAGGACACTTGGGTGGGTGGCCATGCCCTCCTGCAGGGGATCTTCCCCGCCCAGGGAGGGAACCCACATCGTCTATGGCAAGGACACTTGGGTGGGTGGCCATGCCCTCCTGCAGGGGATCTTCCCCGCCCAGGGAGGGGACCCACATCGTCTATGGCGAGGACACTTGGGTGGGTGGCCATGCCCTCCTCCAGGGGATCTTCCCCACCCAGGGAGGGAACCCACATCGTCTACGGCGAGGACACTTGGGTGGGTGGCCATGCCCTCCTGCAGGGCACCTTCCCCGCCCAGGGATGGAACATCTTCTATGGCGAGGACACTTGGGTGGGTGGCCATGCCCTCCTGCAGAGGATCTTCCCCGCCCAGGGAGGGAACCCACGTCTTTTATGGCGAGGACACTTGGGTGGGTGGCCATGCCCTCCTGCAGGGCACCTTCCCCGCCCAGGGATGGAACACCTTTTATGGTGAGAACACTTGGGTGGGTGGCCATGCCCTCCTGCAGGGGATCTTCCCCGCCCAGGGAGGGAACCCACATCGTCTACGGCGAGGACACTTGGGTGGGTGGCCATGCCCTCCTGCAGGGGATCTTCCCCGCCCAGGGAGGGAACCCACATCTTTTATGGCGAGAACACTTGGGTGGGTGGCCATGCCCTCCTGCAGGGCACCTTCCCCGCCCAGGGATGGAACATCTTCTATGGCGAGGACACTTGGGTGGGTGGCCATGCCCTCCTGCAGGGGATCTTCCCCGCCCAGGGAGGGAACCCACATCGTCTACGGCGAGGACACTTGGGTGGGTGGCCATGCCCTCGTCCAGGGGACCTTCCCCGCCCAGGGATGGAACACCTTTTATGGTGAGAACACTTGGGTGGGTGGCCATGCCCTCCTGCAGGGGATCTTCCCCGTCCAGGGAGGGAACCCACATCGTCTACGGCGAGGACACTTGGGTGGGTGGCCATGCCCTCCTGCAGGGCACCTTCCCCGCCCAGGGATGGAACATCTTCTATGGCGAGGACACTTGGGTGGGTGGCCATGCCCTCGTCCAGGGGATCTTCCCCACCCAGGGATGGAACCCACATCTTTTATGGCGAGGACACTTGGGTGGGTGGCCATGCCCTCCTGCAGGGCACCTTCCCCGCCCAGGGATGGAACACCTTCTATGGCGAGGACACTTGGGTGGGTGGCCATGCCCTCCTGCAGGGGATCTTCCCTGCCCAGGGAGGGAACCCACATCGTCTATGGCGAGGACACTTGGGTGGGTGGCCATGCCCTCCTGCAGGGGATCTTCCCCGCCCAGGGAGGGAACCCACATCGTCTATGGCAAGGACACTTGGGTGGGTGGCCATGCCCTCCTGCAGGGGATCTTCCCCGCCCAGGGAGGGGACCCACATCGTCTATGGCGAGGACACTTGGGTGGGTGGCCATGCCCTCCTCCAGGGGATCTTCCCCACCCAGGGAGGGAACCCACATCTTTTATGGCGAGAACACTTGGGTGGGTGGCCATGCCCTCCTGCAGGGCACCTTCCCCGCCCAGGGAGGGGACCCACATCGTCTATGGCGAGGACACTTGGGTGGGTGGCCATGCCCTCCTGCAGGGGATCTTCCCCGCCCAGGGAGGGAACCCACATCTTCTATGGCGAGGACACTTGGGTGGGTGGCCATGCCCTCCTGCAGGGCACCTTCCCCGCCCAGGGAGGGGACCCACATCGTCTATGGCGAGGACACTTGGGTGGGTGGCCATGCCCTCCTGCAGGGGATCTTCCCCGCCCAGGGAGGGAACCCACATCTTCTATGGCGAGGACACTTGGGTGGGTGGCCATGCCCTCCTGCAGGGCACCTTCCCTGCCCAGGGAGGGGACCCACATCGTCTATGGCGAGGACACTTGGGTGGGTGGCCATGCCCTCCTGCAGGGCACCTTCCCTGCCCAGGGAGGGGACCCACATCGTCTATGGCGAGGACACTTGGGTGGGTGGCCATGCCCTCCTGCAGGGGATCTTCCCCGCCCAGGGATGGAACCCACATCTTTTATGGCGAGGACACTTGGGTGGGTGGCCATGCCCTCCTGCAGGGCACCTTCCCCGCCCAGGGAGGGAACCCACATCTTTTATGGCGAGGACACTTGGGTGGGTGGCCATGCCCTCCTGCAGGGGATCTTCCCCACCCAGGGAGGGAACCCACATCTTTTATGGCGAGAACACTTGGGTGGGTGGCCATGCCCTCCTGCAGGGCACCTTCCCCGCCCAGGGATGGAACATCTTCTATGGCGAGGACACTTGGGTGGGTGGCCATGCCCTCCTGCAGGGGATCTTCCCCGCCCAGGGAGGGAACCCACATCGTCTACGGCGAGGACACTTGGGTGGGTGGCCATGCCCTCGTCCAGGGGACCTTCCCCGCCCAGGGATGGAACACCTTTTATGGTGAGAACACTTGGGTGGGTGGCCATGCCCTCCTGCAGGGGATCTTCCCCGTCCAGGGAGGGAACCCACATCGTCTACGGCGAGGACACTTGGGTGGGTGGCCATGCCCTCCTGCA